ATGGAGCTAGAAAATTTAAAATGTGAGGACAACATGCATATGCATATATATTTTTGGGAAAATGAGAAATAAATATATTTAAAATAAGTAAATGAAAAAATAATATCATGAAATAGAGTAATTTTGCTAGTAATTATGTTTTTAATCCTTTATAAAATAATAGACAATGTAATTCTTAAAACCTAAACTAAAGTTGTTAATATAATAAACATATTTGTTAAGGCTCTAATGGCACACAAGTCTTAATATATGCTTAAAGAATATTCTAAAGTTAAACAATCTATTAGCTGATAATTTTTTCCTTTTGGAGGAAAAGTAGATATATTTGGTTGAGATTTCAAGCAAATCTTTCATATTATTCTAGGTAAGTCAAGAGAATATTTTTTTTCACCATTAACTCTTCGTACATGTGGGATAATTGTCAACTTTTTACACCAATAAGAAACATAAGACTTCTAGCAAAAAAATAGTGGTGCATTTATTAGTGCTTTTCAAGATTTTACTGACTGGATTATCAATTGGTAATTGAACTACGGCTAGAGTTAATAAAAAATATCTGTGGATATTAAGATCCCACTTGAATTTGTTGCTAGAAGGTTTAGATAACCTAGTAAAGTCAATTATTAGTTCAACGTTCCCAAATTTTCTTATCAATGTCATAATTCTTCTTATTTTAGAGATATGATTATATTAACTCCTACATTGATTGTAGTTGAAGGAGTAAATAGGTACATGTTCTCTCCACTTCTTGGTGAGAAATTTGTGTACTTGAACTTTCAAAGTATTGTGAAAGATGATGGAGACATGTACTCTATATATCTTCTAAATTCAATTTCAATGTTAGGCCTTTTGAATTATGAATTCAGGCTTAAAGTGGGTTTTTTAATTATTTTAATGTGAAACATTGATATATATATATATATATATGTGGTTGTGCAATGGTACATGTCTCATATTGAAGCGAAAGAAATGTCTAGTTCAAATACAAAGACAAAAGTATACATATCGCCTATTAATATTGGTATGTTCATCTAATTCTATATTGCTATTTACAATGATAAGGACCTAGTTTTTCATTATGTTGGTTTTTGCCATGACCATTAATAAGAATGAAAGTCAGAATATGTGTTATGTTGGTTTGTACTTATCTCAACCTGTTCTCACCCCATAATCAATTACGTTGTTATCTCTCATTTTGAAGTTGGAAGGGTTTAAAAATATTAATTCTTGATAAAGATGATCACCCCACAGATAGAACTTATAATGTCATTATAGGAAAGTCTTTGATAATTTGATTTAAATAATTATGAATTTTTATTAATCTATTTCCTATTACATCCATTTACATAGAATGCATCTAATTTTTACTATTTGCTTTACTTTAATATGCATATTTAATTTGCAAGATGATAATTACACAGTCCCATTACATATAAGATGATATGGAGATCAGATGTAATTCAAGTTATTCTTTCGAGAAACATCTTCCTATAAAATTGGCACTTATTTATAAAAACTATAATATAAGACCTGTGCATTGCATGGGTACTTTACTAGTTTCATCTAAAATTATCAATCTCATAAAGGTTTCTAAAAACTTGAAAAGAATTATAACATTTTACAAGATTTTTCAAGACATTTGCATATTTCAAGGGATTTTTCTTTTCATTTCCCTTTTTTTAATCTCTTTCAAAATTTAGATTTAATTTTAACTTAATGTTATGTAAAAATAATTGACAATTATTGATTATGTATAATTTTAAAAATAATTACTTTTGATCATAATATTAGTTTTTTAAAGAATATATTTTAAAAGATACACCATCTATTCAAAAATATAAAATATTTTTTAAAAAGTTGATATTAAAAAATATAAAATATTTTTACTCTTTCAAAGTGTAATCGTTACCTTTTTGCCAAAACTATTCTTATTAAATAAATTATTTTATATTTATTTTAGGATGAAATATCCTATTAATTAATACGAATAAATATAAAAAGATATAGTTAGTTTGAAAAAAAATAACTACTTTATTGAAAGGTAAAATTTGATTAAAAATTTCTGATATCTGTAAACAAAAGGAGTACTAATTAAATTTTTTTTGGTTCAAAGATTAATATTTTTATATTTTCAAAAGTATTTTTAAAAAAGTATTTTTAAAAAATTATTTTCACTCAAGCACGCCAGTCCAAACTATGCATCGGGCTAACATGGAGGATGCTTGGCCCCACCAAGACTTTTCCTTCAGTGTTAATGATCTTTTATTGAATTTAATCAAATGTTTTTATCCATTTTAATTAATACGTTACAATTAATTCATATCAAGATTTCTATTTGCGATCTCTTCAATCTTCATACACTTCATTGTTCAGCAATTCATTAAAAAAAATTCTTAAAAATATTCTGTCATTTTAAAATAAAATCAAATTCTTCGTACCAAAATATTAAATTCACACTAAAATTAAAAAAATAAAAAAAGTAAAATATACTAACCTCCCTTCTATTTTTCCTTAATTACAGAGACCTTTTTTATTTTTAAATTCTAATTTTAAAATTTATATATACCTTTCTTGAAATTAAAATTACATAACACATACCTTATATTTTAAAGATTTTATTTCCATACATCCAACTGTAATTAACTGTTAAATCATATATTTTGGATTAAAATATTCCTCTTTAATATAAATATTATTCAAGAGTCATTTAATAAGTTTCCAAATGATAATTATAATATATAAGTTGAGAAACGTATTGTAAAATATAAATAAACTTATTTATACAATATATAAGTCTAAGAATCATTTATATAAACTTATTTAAGCGGTAATTAAAATTTTAAATGTATAAGTGGATAAAAATAATATTTCAGACATATATGACTAAAAATTTATTAAATTAAAAATTTCTTGGAAAAAAGTTATGAATTTAATATAATGAGAGATAAATTAATTATCATAATTTATATTCATTTTATTAATTTTAATATAAATTATGTTTATTAATTTTAGGCTAAAGTATACTTTTACACTTTTAATTTTATATAAAATTTTAATTTGATCCTTTAATTTTATAAAGTATCTTTTTAGTTCTTTAACTCTAACATCATTTGTTTTAAATAATTTTTTTGTATCAATTATTATCATTTTGAAAAAATTAAACTTAATATGTCAATATTTGAAAATATTTTGTCAATATTTAAAAATTTAATATAAAAATTTGTTGAGATAAAACTAATAATATTAAGATTAAAAGACTAAAAATATATTTTATAAAGTTGAGGAACTAAAATGAAACATTGTGTAAAGTTAAAAAATTAAATGTATACTTTAACCTTAATTTCAATATATTTTAAAAATGTTTAAGATTCATTTTTACACCTAGACTTTGTCATTTCTACTGACTTAAAAAATTTAACCAACTCAATCAATATATAAAAATATTACAGGTTGTCTATAAATGTTTGAAAAATTAATTTGAACTGTTAATATGTAAAAATAATTTATAACTTTTGAATAAATATTTATAAATAATAATATTTAAATTATTAAATACTAAAATATTTAATTTGTTAACAATATTTATTAAATTTATTTTAATAAAATTTCAGGGTGCCTAGCACTTGTAAAAAAAGAGTTTAAGGATAAATTAGTACTAAGTCTGTCATTGTGCATGGGCCCTACACACATACCATGTTAGCAAGAAATAACAAACTTAATGGCCAACTAACCGAAGAGGCTTTCTACTTTTTAGAAAAATAGTTCAAAAGTAAAATTATTTCGCTTATTAATATAAGATGTCTAGCTCTCTTTAAAAAAAGTTCAATGATAAAAATACATTTTAACTCTTTTTAAAATGTTTATGAAAATATAGCCATAATATTCTTTAAAATTGGAGGAGAGATAATACAACAGATTGCAAGGGTAGATTAATACTTTTAATTTTTTTACTTGTTTTAATTAATATAATAAAGCATTTTAGAATCTTAAATGGAATGTTCTTAACGATGTTAAAAAAAAAAGGACTAAAACATATGTTTTTAAAAACATATAAATAGTCTTTGTAATTTTAACAAATTTGAAGGGAGGTGATTATATTTTACTCAAAAAAAAATATATATATCAAGATAAATCATATTAATCACATTACAAAACTACTTAGAAAAGCTATGTTCACGTCAAAGTTCAAACCTACCATCTCTCTTAAATTCCATTAAAGCCCATTAGCTTCCTTTTTTGTTATTTTAAAAGGCTAATTCTGAAAAATTTTAGTAGGATATTTGTTTAAGTTTTTGATATAATCAGAATAAGAAATATGTTTATCTTGAGGAACTATTTTTAAAAACATCTGGTAATTTTACAAAATGACTTCTTTTTCGCTTAATTGTAAAATTTTGAATAATAAATCAAGAGTGTTTTAGGATAGGAGCATTAATGTTGCGCATATTAATTGCACAGAATTGAAGTCAATGATATTTTTAAAATGTATGCCGACCTAACTACCAGATTTATTGCTAGTATATCCATATCTTATCAAAATTATTATATTAGCGATAGCGACTGTAATATTTAGCTAGCTTGGCTCAAAAGTCACATTTGAGTACAACTGATGAAGAATGTGACCATTCTCGATCAACTGCAATAAGTATGCAGAAATTTGTAGGTAAGGACCAATAAAAACTAGAAATTGACTCTAGAGCACCCATTAAAAGTTTTTTTTTTAAAAAAAATCTCTCCGTCCTTTTTTGAAATTTTTGAGCCTTTTGCTATAATATTTTGGTCTTTTTCTATACTTTTTTATATCATTTTATTATTTTCTGCTCAAATAATAATAAAAAATAACTAATAGTTCATTTTAAAAAGTTGGAAAGACACATTATATCAAAAACAAATTTAGCATCCTAAATGTTCTTGGACCTATAGTTTATAGGGGTCATTTTACTAGATTACGCTTTATTTTTTTTTCATTTTTAATTTAGAAAAGATATATAAAACACAACACTCTTTTTATTCATATAGTTTCTAAATTATGTTAATGGAGACTGAAATCAGTCATATACATATAAGATAGGAAATTGTGAACATAGCCACAAATAACAAAAATATAAACATAAAGCACATTTTGATGATCTGCTCATTATAAGCTTCTAAAGCCAACATGGAGACCAAGTAATATAAAAAACATGCACACATATATGCCCAAGAAAACAACGGTAGGCTCATCCCAATAAAGATTAGACTTTTATCGCTGATCGATCAGACGCCAATTTATATGGCCTGCAACAGCAAATATAAAAAATGAGACGCAGTTTAAAAATAAGAATATAAAAAATAACTAAAAAGATAATCAATCACCAGATATTTATATTAAAAACAGATTTGGGTTAATTTGCACATGAAAAAATTGGTTGACATGTATAGAACGAACTATGTAAGCATCGTATTAAAGGGGACAAAATGGTTCTTCATTTCGTCAAATGTCTAGAGACGTAATATAATGGCAAGTACGTACGAATTAGACAAGGGACGATGTGAAATAGAATGTAACAGCAAGATCAAAATGACAAAATAAATGCTTAGACGCTGTGTTTTGGTCAAAAGAAAAGTTCAGACGCTTAATAAAAACAGAAAACATGAGTTATATCTCATGAGAAACATGAGTGATATTTTAGATACTATGTTGTACTCACCGCGAAGTAAAAGAACTCTTGATGGAAATTAACTCCCTGACAACCTCCACTGCACTTATTCTTTCATGTGGTGATTCCACTGAACAAGCAAGTCCAATCCTAACTAAAGAGCATAGGCATTTCACCACATTAGGTTGGACCTGTATTAAATCCTCCAATGAGCCTTCTGATATCTGCATTCTATGTTCAGATTCCCTAGGAAGAATACTAGGATTCACAACTTCCAAAAGCTTATCTGGAAATGCAATTTCCACAAATTTATGAAGATTGTGACCGTCTTCACATATATCTGCGGTGGGCCTTTTTTTGGTTAGCATCTCTAAAATAAGAATGCCAAAACTATACATGTCACCTTGTATTGACACGTCGAGACCCATTCCATATTCTGAAATATGGTAATAATTTTGTTAGTTTCCATAGCAACTCATCAAAATAAAATAGAAAACGGAAAGTTTGAACTAAATGAATGTGACTTTATGGCAAAAAAATGAAAAATATTATATGATACCTGGAGGAACATAACCAATGGTGCCCTTTATTCCAATTGTGCTACTTTGTTTATTAATTTTTCCCTCAATAGTTGAAAATATCCTGGCCAATCCAAAATCACTCAAATGAGCAACCATGTCGCCATCAAGAAGGACATTGCTTGGCTTCAAATCACAATGAACAAGAGGTTGCTCACATTCATGGTGAAGGTATTGTAATGCAGACGCAACATCGAGTAAAATATTTATGATTTGATCGAGGATCAAAATTCTTGGATGAACTTGATCTTTGGCACCTGGATGCAACCAATTTTCCAAGCTTCCATTCACCATGTACTCATAAACCAGAGCTTTAAATTCATGACCCTTGAAATCTATGCTGGAGCAACATGTAACAATTTTCACCATATTTCGATGTCTTCTATTTTTGAGCGAGTTACATTCAGCCACGAAACTCTTGTCAGCTCCCTTAATTTGAAGGTTGAGGACCTTTATTGCGACAACATCATGAGACTCAAGACTTCCCTTATATACAGAGCCAAATCTCCCAAATCCAATCATGTTGTTGGCTGAGAACCCATTCGTTGCATTGTGTAAACTTTGAAATGACACTTTGGGAAGCATGTCAATTGCCGGTGAATTGGAGGGATATTTCTTGCTTCTTTTCCTCTTATAATAATAAATAGCAAGAATGGAAGACAGTATCAAAAGAAAAGCCACCACACAACATATTGCTGCGACCAACCCAGAAGTATGATGTTTTCTTTCTCCCGTAACTTTAACAAGACATGGTGGTAGTTTTAGATCTGGAATTCCTCCACAAAGCTCACTATTCCCAGTCAATGATATTGCACTTGCATTGCTAAAGACACCTCTTTTTGGCACTTCACCATCCAACATGTTAAAAGAAACATTCAGGTATTCTAAAACGGAAATATCCTGCAATTCCTTTGGAACTGAACCAGACAAGTTATTTTCTGACAGGTCTAAGTATCGTAGACCTTTTAACGAAGCCAAAGATAAAGGGATGATTTCTTGGAAGAAGTTCCCCTGTAAAAAAAGGTACTCCAAGCTCTTGCAATCTCCTATCGTTTCTGGAATATTTCCAGGCAAATGATTATGGGAAAAATCCAGTTCATCAATATTTTTTAACTTTCCTACTTCCTTAGGGAGCTTACCACTAAACGAGTTATGAGACAAGTTCAGCAAGATCGATAAAGATGGAAGATCAAATATCTCTACAGGCATGGTGTTACTAAACTTGTTTCGTGACAGGTCAAGCTTCTGCAATTTTTGGCAATTTCTAATGCTTGGAGGAATTGGTCCTTCTAGCATATTACCTGACAAATCTAGATCAAACAACTGACTGAGGTTGCCTATAAAAGGTGTTATTTCTCCTGACAACCTATTCCCTACTAAATATAATGCTTGCATCTTTTGAAGCTTCCCAAAAGTAGTTGGGATCGTGTTGGTTAAATGATTATTGTCCATATCTATTACCCATAAGTTGACAAGATTTCCCAACGCTTCAGGAATTTCACCAGAGATTTGATTGTCTGATAAATAGAGTCCTTTCAAATGGGTGGACAAATTGCCAATGAAATTTGGTAGATGGCCTCCAAAATTGCTGGAACTCAATTCAATTGCTTTCAACTTACTACAATTGATCAAAGATTTCAAGAATTCCAAGTCTTCCGCAGAATTACTTCCCAGATCATTATGACCAATGTTTAGTACTGAAAGATCATGCGACTTTCCCAGATCTGGAACAAGCCCAGTCAAATGATTAGCCGCCAATGCAAGCCGTACAAGTCTAGAAGCATTGACTAGGGAAGTTGGGATAGGGCCTGAAAATTGATTCATATCAACTTCCACTAACTGGAGATTAGGGAGGGTGAGAAACATATTGACTGGGAGAGACCCATTAAGTTGATTATTTGCAACCCCAAGCCAAGTAAGACTTGACAAATTGTAAATAGAAGAGGGAATTGTACCAGAAAGCTTGTTGGAACCTATAGCAATTGTTCCCAATTTTTGCAGGTGGCCTAATGTTTCAGGTACAGTCCCCTCCAAGTTATTCCGACCCAGAGAAAGAAGACGAAGGGAAGAAATATTCCCTATGGAAATTGGGATTTCACCCGTGAAATTGTTTACAGGTAGATATATTTCTTCAAGCTTTTGGAGAGAGTCAATCTCCATTGGTATTTTGCCAATGAGATGATTCCCTCCAAATGAGAAGTACCTGAGGTTAGAGCAACTTGTGACGTTAACAGGAAATTCTCCTGTCAACGTATTATTTTCCAGATAAAGTTCCTGCAATCGAAACAAGTGACCGAATTCTTGTGGGATCTCTCCATGAAACTTATTGGCACCAAGAGAGATGTATCTGATGAAGGAGAGATTGCCAATGAAGGGTGATAAAGTACCAGACAATTGATAATCTTCTAACACCAACCGAGTAACTCTGTGATGCTTGTGGCCGCAAGTGATTCCATGCCAGTTGCAGAAGTGTGTTGAAGCATTCCAAGAGTCCAAGATATGATAGGGATCTTCGGATATTGATTCCTTGAATTTGAGCAAGGACAAGTGATCAGTTTTGTTTCCCAATGATGGTGATGAAGCAGCTCCTCTGCAAGATTGAAAGATCAAAGTAAAGAAAAGAAGCAAGTGAAGGTTTTGGGACCAAACCGGAAAAGGTTTCATTTTGTTGAGAAACACGAGGCTCCGCGTTGAGTGGTCTTTGTAAGTTAAGTGGTATGGAACTAAGTGGAAGCACACAGTTGTTCTCTAATTTTAGTCGGACTTAAATAATGGAGGCCACATTATTTTCTATTTAGAGAGAGAGAGAGAGATAATAGTTTTTCTTTTATAATTTAGTTCATATTTTTTTATATCAAATATAATCTCAACATTCGCCACTATAGAGGTTGGCATTAATGATCAAAGGTAAGAAGACCAGAAAGACTCTTATCTTACCCATTTGGGTAGGTTTAATTTTCTCTCTAATGTCACCCTAATCAGTGTCATCTAAAGTCTCACTTGACAGGCATGTTCATTCAATCCTTATTACAAGATCGAGATCCTATCGTGCTTGGGGCTATTTCATTGTGTGCTTGGAACTACGTTGAATTTGTGGTTCCGAATATTATTCACCCAAAAGCAACAATTTGTCGAGCAAACATGTTTAATTTCCAAATGCTATCATAATTGAGCCAAACACACTCTAACTTGGGAGAATTACACATAGGTCCTAGATAAAAAAAATTATTTACTCATAAGTCTCATCCACCTATAAAAACTGAAATTTAACATGTAATAGAAGTTTATAAATGGACTGAAATAATTAATTTCTTTATTTGGCACCTGTTTATAATTTTTCCTTTTAATTATGATTTAACAAGTCTCGTCTACTACTTGTTTCCTCCACATGATAATGATACTTCAATTTCTAAAAGAAGCTCAAACTTTTGACAAATTCAAATAATTAAATTGTACGTTTCACAATATTAGATGATGAAAATAACGAGTACTGGCTCCGGCAGTGAGGTCGTTGTAAATTGGTCACTGTCATTCCAAGCCAGTGACATTTCCTTTTTCTTTTAATATTATATTTACAGTGTATATTAATTGTTCTAACCAATTCCACTCGATTTCTAATCTAATATATTCCTACATATTTTTAATATATTTTGATAGAACATATTTTTTTAATATTATTATGACTTAATAACTAACCATTTCTCCATTCTTTGCACACACGCATGTGGACCTGTGCGTTAGAGTATTACTCCAAGCATGAAGTTTCTAGATGTAACATTAGTCATGAATAATATGATCATCTTACACTTTATGATATGCATGGAAAACATATTTAAGTTTAAAAAACAACTTAATTTAAATAAAAAATAAGGAGTATATAAGTTTTTATTAGAAAAAAAAGAATATAGTGATGAATTGATCAAGTTTAATTTGTATTTGATGAGTTATTCATTTTAAGACCCATTTAATGTGTGAAGAGAATGAAATGAAAAAAAAAATACTCATAATAAATAAAAGATTTTGCAAACGAAGTAACAGTGATTTGAAAAGAAAAATATTAACATGGTATATACTTGTTGGTGATACGAAGACATTCAATTGAAAATGTCTATTTTGAGCACTTACGATGACTGTGACCATTTCCTACTAAAATTATTACGTAAAGACTTTTTTGATCAAGTCCCTATTAAAAATAGTGATTGCGCTAGGTGACTCTGTCCAATACTGAAGTCATTTTTTAAAAAGATCAGAATTCAGAAGTTTTTTAAAATAGTTCCTCAAATAATCATATTTTTTATCCTTAATATTTTAAAAATTAAATAAATATCTCAAATTTCCAAGAAATCCTTTTTCCAAAAAAAAAAAAATGAAGCAAACAGGCTTTAATGGTTTGATATGGGAGATGATAGATTTAATGTGATCATAGGTTTTTTTTTTTTTTTTTACATTTACAGATATCCTCTTATTAGATATAATCATATTTAAAATACTATCAAGCATTATTATGTATGGACACCTTTTTTAACAAGAATTCAAACATTAATTCACCACATTATAAAAAACTAGTTGATTCCGCTAGACCCAACTACATTGATGTAATCATAGTTTTTTAAGTAGTTTAGTAATGTGATTAATATAATCAATCTTGGATCCCTCACAAGTGGCAAGTCAAAGTTTGAATCTCCTTTAAGAGAAATGTCCACATTTAGTATCCGGCCATAACTAAATCATGATTACCTCTAATATTAAAAGGATATGCGGATAACCAAAAAATATAATTAATCTTACTATTTGCGTATTTTTTTTTTGTCAGCATTTAACATTCTTAACATTCTGGTAGTACTCTTAGATCGATTTATTTTTAAAAGGAAATAATACTTTTAAGAAAAAATATTTTTTATCAATTGCTAAATGATTTGATACCCCTATTAGCTTACAAAAAAAACGGTAGTTCCTAATAATGCCATTCTTAATAAGCGAGAAATTGATATGTATTTTCTCTTTTTCCTGTTATAAAGAACTTTCAATTACTTCACTAAAACTAACAAATGGAAGTTAACTAATTAAATATGTCATAAAATAAAAAAAATTGATTAAAAATCAACCATAACCATGTGCAGTACTCAGAAAGATATAAAATCAACAGCGGCTGAACATCCCAAATCCCTCAAAACTTGATTTTAAACCTATTTTATGCAATCTCCCATCTAATCTAAGTAGGCTCTATAATTAACTTTACTAAAATCCCATTTCGTTTTCTAGTCAATTTTAAGTTCTCTTTGGATAACACCTTCCAAATTTTAAATTTGTTTTTGGGAGAATTTCAAGGTAACATCTGTATGAGAAGAAAAAATTAGAGCTTTTGCAAAAGAACCTTTGAAATGAAAAAATAAAAAATAGACAGACTGTAATAACCTATAAAGTTTTGTGAAAAAAATTAAAAAATTATATTAAATATATAATAAGGTGTATTAATTATAGTTATATTAATTTTGGGACCATTATGATAAGAAGAAGTGTTGGTGTAGTGGAAGGAGCATGCAATCCAATCATCAGGTTTCAAATTCGAATTTGACTAAGACCCAAAAAGGGGATTTTACTTTGTTTTTGTTTTTTGAAATTACCAAATTGCCCCTTTTCAATCTAATAAGGCTTCTCGTCCCTTTTCTTCGATTGTTCAAGATTTGTCCAGAGAGAGAAGTGCTCTGCCTCATGCTTCATTCCTTCACTCTTCCTCTGCGTCTCCGATTCCTTCCTTTTTGTTTTCAGCCATCACCGGCGTGAGCTTTGATTGCCGATCTGTCATAGCTGGCTGGAGTGAGAGCTCGTTTTCTGTTGTTGGAAGTCAAACAAAAATCTCTTCCTTCTTCCTTGTACGAGCTCAGTGTTTCACTGGGTTGAGGTATAGATTATGGGAATCATTTTGCTTGTGCTGCTGTCGAGTTTTATTTCTATTATGTTCTTGGTTATAATGCTTCTTCTCTCTACTCGATTCTCGCTGTTACTCTGTTCCTGTAAACTCTGTCCAAGCATTGCTAACGGGTGGAAGAAGCTGAAGCAACACTGATTCTGGTTTTTTTTCCTTTCTCTTGAACGGTGCTGCATCTTTCACTGTTCCTTGCTCAGCTGGAGATTCCATCTTCTCTCCCTGTTTGGTTGGCAATCTCTTGATCTCTCCCTCTTTCGCTGTTATTGGTGATTAAGGTGAGGATTTTTGAGCACTCTTCCTTTGTTGAGCCGTATGAGAGGGAGTGTGAGTTGATGGCTGAAATTATAGAGTTCTTTGATATAACCTTGTTGCTGCTGTATGTTGTAAGAAGAAGGTTCAAATTTGAGCTGAAACATGACTTAAGACTTGGTAGTGATATACACATGGGTCATAATTTTGGAGTTAAATTAATTTTATTTGAAATGATTGATGCAAAGAATTTATTGAGGTTAAATTGGAAGAGAATAGCTTTGATATATTACTTGAATATTGGCTTCATTAAGATGCCTACCGAAATGTGTGAAATAATTTTAAAGCATAAATTTTGGTTTTGAATTTTAAGTGATAATGATTGATATAGGAAAAGTAGAAGGAAATCTTTATAAAGTAAAGACGATTTGTTAAATTTTGTTTAATAATATCCTTATAAGATGTGTGGAAGATGAGGATCCTAACAGAAATTGAAGAAAAAATATTGTGAGAATCTGGAATTTCAACAAATAAGTGAATAGCATTCCCTTTAATTTATTTTATTGTCATAGACTTTTATTGAACCATTTTATTTTTATGAATTATATTAATTTTGAAAATTATGAAATATTGGTAAAGGACAAATGAATTATGATATGTGAATTTATTTATTATCAAAAAGTGTATTCCCAAGGTTGATAAAAGCACTCATGTATGATTGTTAAGTTTTGAAATGTATTGACTACTCAAGTACTGTAAGTTTGGTGTAATAGCTATAAAGTATAGTTTTTACAAAATTTAAGATTTGAAACAACTCATGCAAGTTTGACATTGAGAATGAAAATTTTATTATAGCAATAATTATTTTTCTTGCAGGTTTGAAACATAGTTTTTAAAGAATTCTAAACAGAACACTGTTGCTAATGACAGTTTCGTTAGCCCGTAGTGCGCTGTGGTTAAACATTAGCTAGTTTATTTCATGAGCTTTGCTCTCATATTTGGTATTCGTGGGCTTTGTACCCGTGTTTGATTCCGTGATCTAAGCCGCATTTGGTTACTTACCCTCGTGGATAGTATGTCCACGTTTGTTTCATAGCTTTGGCTACGTTTGGTTATTTACCCTCATGGACTGATGTGTTCACGTTTGTTTTTGTGGCATAAGTCACGTTTGGTTACTTACCCTCGTGGACTATGTGTTCATGTTTGTAATCTGTTCTGTTGAGTTCTCAAAATTTAAAATGTTGATTAAAGTGTTTTCAAAATTTACATGATTTTAGCTAACAATTTTACCACTTTGAATTATATGTGTAAACTGTTTTCTTTAAGCATTATAGTATAAATTTTTTTCAACTTACTCATATTTTACTATTATGGTTATAACTTACAGGTTTATAAAATTTTGAGGAATTATTTTAATTAGTTAGCACCATTATTAGAGTTTGTTTATTTTAAATTTTAAGAATTTTACCAGAGAAATACTATTCACTAAAAAACTTATTTTGATCTCAAATTTGTTAACTGACGCTGATTCCCTTGACCTCTGAAGGGCAAACCAGCTGCAGTGGATGAAAATTTTTGATTGGTACTGTTGCTTTTAATGTAAATATATTTTTTAACAATTAGCTTAAAGTAAAAGTGATTTGATTATTTTTTTCTTTTATAAAAATTTATTAGTTTAAAGGGATGTGTGAGTGGTCACCCTCTATTTTTAGGGCTTGACACAGACATTAGATGTTTTTGTGAAAATCGGGCTTCCATTCACCATTAGCTTGAGGGTAATGGCTTCTCTTCCTGCATCATCGCGATCTCCTGTCTGAACTCTCACAACGTATTGGAATTGCTCCCGCATGCAATCCCATTTCGATCAACATCTAGAATCAGACATGTAACACAATACTAAGTAGATGAAAGCTTGCAACCCATGGGTGAAACCAAACTAATATTGGATCAAGAGAAGAAAGCAACTTACAGTTACAGATATGGCTATTGCAACGAAGCTGATGAGTGAGAGCAGAAAAAAAAGACGAGACATTGCATCTCTGAGAGCCATATTTTTTATAAGGATGATGAGGAGCTTAAACAACCTTTGCAGCTATACGCCTTTATGTAGAACACATGCATGCACGTCTGTCCAGCAGGACGAGTATTATTATGTGATGAACCTAATGAATATACACAGTGAAACTTATGTGATGTTCAATCCAATTCGGTAGGTGCATCGCATAATACTTTTTTTTTAAATATGCATAATAAAACTCTTGTCCAGATATCCGTTAATTTATGTCCAATCCAACTCCACAGTCAAACCCCCAACAAGATTAATTGTTTGTACCCACGTCGCATATGGATAATATATAATGAAACGTACTTTGAAGTTGATTTCAAGTGTGGTATATTGGTATAGATACTTTCTAGATTAAATTGAGGCTGATGAAAATCATGAGCCCGTTATCATTTTATAATGTGGAATGTCAGACTTTTGTTGTCATATCCTCCCACTATCAACTACAGGCTAGCTCTCGCTTCTGTGGTTTGAACCAGTTCACGGCAGTTCCGAGAGAATTACCGAGGAGAAATTTTCTAAAAAATTATTTTTTTATAAAATGAATTTCCATTATATTAATTCATAAATATGACATACTCTGCATTTCTCAAAAGGATGTTGCAATAAAAAATTATAATTATTAACCATTCCCAAAAGCTAAGTTTAGATGCATAATAGACATAAACAATTGTAATTTTGAACATTTTAATAAACTGATAAAAAGGTTGTCCCCCAACAAAACTAATCAAAAGGTATGTTATGAGTTCCGAAAACCTAAATTTTGAAGAAAAAAATCCTCGTGCTTTAAGAAAAGATGGAATTACTCAGGACGCCAATATAATATAATGACCCAAATTTTTTGAATTAACGTAAATCAATTTTTCTCAACAGTAGATATTTTATTTAAATTAATTTTATAATAAGTGGAGAGTGATAGTTTAAAAAAAAACTTATCAAATATTTTTTCAAAGTCCAGAGTTATAATTTTATTGAGAGAAAGTGTGGTTTTATTTTGTCCTGAATTATGAAAAAAATTTGTTCCTCGTTTGTAATTTTTCCTTGTGCTATTTCTTGTAGTTTTCCCAATTATCTTTTTTGGTTCAGAATTTATATCTTTTATGCAAAAACAGAGCACTGGCAGTTCATTTTCTTTCCTTCCTTCCACCGACATGGACGTTCTGATTCCTCACCGCCATTGCACTCCTTCACCGTTCTTCGCATCTCCGGTGGCCATGGTGCTCGTGCTGTCTTGTAATGCCAGCTGTAATCTCATCTTCTTCCTTCCCTGTCGCTGATGATCGCTGCTGTGGTGGAGGTTTTGTTGAAGTCACTGTTTTTTTTTTTTTTTTACTCTGGGTGCTGCCATCGGAGAGTGTGAGTGGCAAAACTCCCTCCTTATTCCTGCTTTGTCTGTGCGTTGCTGCGTGTATGCTGCCATGTTTTCGTGATTCTTTCCCCTGCTTCCGTCGATTTCGTTCTGTTCCCTTTCTTTGCTGTTGCTGATTCAGGTTTGATGTGTCGAACCTTGCTTCTTGACAATTTCATGAGTATGCACGTTTAAGTGGTTGGGATTTTAAAATTTTCCCCCTATTATTTGATCTGCTACCCTGTGTGTCTCAGTTGGGAAGGGATATGATTTAATATGTGGATAGTTTAGATTGAGCTTTTCTTGAGTTTAATTGACTCTTGCTGGAAAATTTGATTGAAGAAAAAAAATCAAAATATAACAAACCCAAACGTTCTATTGTAGATTGTTGGGATGGGATTTAAAGCCAAAAACTTAGAATTAAGATTTGAAATCTGATGCCTACAAGGTGTTTGATTAAATGTGTATTAGGAGAAGCTCATTGGGTTATGTATTTCCTACAACCTTATTAATCTCTTAAGAAAGACAACTAGCTTAAATGCTTATTATTTTGTAAATTTGAGCTTGGTGCTGTAAGGGAATTGGGTTATGAAGCTAGTGTATAACTAATTGAGTTTTGGGAGTTATATGGTGGGTGATTATAAACTATGGTATTGTTTTATGACTTAATTTAGATGGTGCACCTAAGTTATTCGATAAAATGAGTTTAGTTGTTTAGAAGCAAAGTCATTCAAAGATTGATATTGGGAAATTTTTGGGAAATAGAATTGAATAAGAAGAAGCTTAGTAAGAGATTGATGTTCAACAAAATGACTAAGAGGGAGTCTATAATGGTATGATATATATATATATATATATATGATAATATGGTTGATTGATTAAATAAACTATCATTAGAAGACAATTATTCTTATAGAATTTGGGAAGTTAGTTTATTCAAATATCTAACTTGTAAAATTTTTGGGAGTTGGAATTAAGGAGTTTGGCAAGGTCACGGACTCATTTTGTTTCCCGTGAGGCATCACTGTTGGACTTTCTTCTTTCCCTATTCAGCATCCAAGTTTCCTCTTCTTCTCTTTTGTGATGTTGGTGATTTAAGGGTAATTGAAAGAAGGGTAGCTCGATTAGAGTTGAAAGAAGTGACTTTTGAGCTTTGAAGGTATTATAGGTAAGTGAATAGCGTCCCAACTAATTTATCAATTAATTTTTCTTATTGCAATTTATTTTGTTATATTGATTATTTTAATAATAATTATGTTGATTAGTAGATACTTTGTTAATTAAATTTCTTCATTTTTAAGTTTTAAGATGGTGGTGAAAAACAATTCATCATAACATACGAATGTTTTATCCCTTATGAGATATCCTTTCAAGATTGATAAAATTCCTTTTCACTAGAATTGACAATTTTTGATTATTCAATAAATGCAAGCACGAGCATTGGATATAAAATTTTATTCTGGCAAGTTTTAGTACTTAAAACTATTCATGCGAGTTTGATTTTGAGAATGAAAACTATATCTTAAAAGTAATGATTTTCTCGCATGTTTGAAAATGATTTTAAAGGGGATTTTATACAAAACGCTGGTTGCTAACGGCAGTTCTATTAGTCCTTGGCACGCCATGGTCAATGACCAGCTAGTTTGATTTTCGTGAGCTTTGTTCTCACGTTTGTTATTCGTGAGTCTCGTACTCACGTTTGTTTCATGGCATAAGCCGCATTTGGTTATTTACCCTTGTGGATTGTGTGTCCATATTTGTTTTTGTGGCATAAGCCGCGTTTGGTTATTTACCCTCATGGACTGTGTGTCCACGATTATGAATTATTCTGATAAATCCCCAAAACTATGAATTTTTAGTTAGTTGGTGATTTCATATTTAATGATTTTAAATTAGTAAATATTGTTATTCTTATTTATGATCTAATTATTATTTTTTGTCAAGATCAAATGTTAAAGCTATTTTGTCGTTATAGATTTAAATATTTTTGTTATGGAAGTTATATAGAACTTTTATTCTAAGTTGATAAATTTGCTTACATTGAATTGCTTTCTCATGTATTTTATATAATTATTATATTTTATTCATTGTGCTTCTACAAAATATTATGATTGGGATGTTATTCACTAAAAAAGTTATTTTGGTCTCAGATAGCGTCGCTGATATTGTACATCCTGCTTTCCAATGAGGAAATTTCTACTGAGCTTAGTGGAGATTTGTTCTGTAAATATTTTCTATTGATGTAAATCTAAATTTATGAATTATGTCATGAAAAACATGATTAGGTGCTCTACATAAATTATGATTAGGGTCCTGATTCTCTTTGTTATATTGTCTATCTATTGGTGAGAAGTAAAGCTCCATATTACTAGTTATAAATTGTAAAATTTCTGTTGTAAAGATTTTGGAGAGATCTTACTTATAAGGGAGGTATTGTCATAATTTTTACAAAATATTTGATAATTTGATTATCTAAAAAGTAAAATTTGATGCGTACAATTAGGTGAATAGTAAGTCAAATGTATTAATTCAGAACTTTCCTTAATCAAAGCTTTAAGGGATGGGTGTTTAAGTGCACATTTCGTGCCGATCACTCCCATATTTCAAGACGTGACATATAATATAAATGTATACTAGAAAAAACAACTTGAGCAAATTCAAGGAAATCCAAAAGTTTGAATGTAAGGGCGATTACAAAATACAAAGGCATAAAAATTTAAGTGATGATAATGAAATATCTAAACCACGCACAAACTGATTATGGCCACGTGGACAATGACCATCCTTCATTATGCAATCTTTTTAGCCTCTATTATTCTCTCCAGAAGGAAAATAATTTCTTCTGATTAGACTTAGTTCCTTGATGACATCCATCCCACTCATCCTTTCATGTGGCGATTCCATTGAACAAACAAGTCCAATCCTAAATAAAGAAATTAAGCATTTCTCTACATTTGGATGGATCATTGTTATGTTCTCTGATGATTCTCGTGATGTTGCCGCTACATGTTCTAATTCTCTGGAGAAAATAGTAGGGTTCACAATCTGCAAAAGCTTATCAGGAAATGCCCTTTTCACGTATTCATGGATATTTTGACCATCTTTAAACATATTTTCCATGGGTCTTCTACCTGTTAGCGTCTCTAAAACAAGAATGCCAAAACTGTACATGTCACCCTGTCTTGATACCTCGAAACCCATTCCATATTCTGAAATAGTGTAAGTTTGTTATTTCTCATGTAAAATCATCAAATATAAATATAAATTTAAAAGGAAAAGCCTTTTTTCAACAAAAAAAATTGCATTTTTCAACTTTCAAGGCCAAAAAGTTATTAAATGGCACCTGGAGGAACATAGCCAAATGTACCCTTGATTCCAATCGTGCTGCTTTGCTTATTAGAATTGCCTTCAGCAATTGAGAGTAGTCTTGCTATTCCAAAATCACTCAAATGAGCAACCATGTTGCCATCAAGAAGGATATTACTTGGCTTTATATCGCAATGAACAAGAGGTTGCTCACATTCATAGTGAAGATAGTGTAAAGCAGAAGAAACATCAACAAGAACATTCAGTATTTGATCAAGGAGCAAATTTCTTGGATTATACTCTGCATTTTCTGTTTTGTTAGGATGCAACCATTTTTCCAAGCTTCCATTCACCATATACTCATAGACTAGAGCTTTGAATTCTAGTCCCTTGTAATCAATGCTGGAGCAACATGTTAAAATCTTTACCAGATTTCGATGCCTTGTATTTTTAAGTGCATTACATTCGGCCACAAAACTCTTCTGGGCTCCCCTGATTTGAAGGTTGATTACCTTTATTGCAACTTCTTCAGATTCCAATCGGCACTTATATACAGAGCCTACACTCCCAGATCCTATCAAATGGTTGATAGAGAACCCATCAGTAGCATTGTGTAACTTTTGATATGATACTTTTGAAAGCATGTCAATTGATGGTGAATCTGAAGAATATTTGTTGCTTCTTTTCCTAAGATGATAAATGGCAACAATAGATAATAGAAGAAGAAATGCAGTCACACCACTTACAGATACTATCATCTTGAAATTAGGATGTTTTCTTTCTCCCACAGATTTGAGAGGGCAAGGTGGGAGTCCTAGCTTTGAAATGCCTCCACAAAACTTATTATTTCCCATAAGTGATATTGCACTTGCATTGCCAAAGACACCTTCGTTTGGTACCTCCCCTTCAAGCATGTTGAAGGAAACATTTAGGTACGTCAAAGAAGTAATATCCTGTATGCCTTTTGGAATTGATCCAGACAAGTTATTTTGTGACAAGTCTAGATATCTGAGACCTTTTAATGAAGCCAAAGATAAGGGGATCGTTTCTTGAAAGAAATTCCCTTGCAACAAGAGATACTCTAGGCTTTGGCAATCTCCAATGGATTGAGGAATATTTCCATACAGACGATTGTGTGAGACATCCAATTGACCAATATTTGTTAACTTCCCTACCTCCTCGGGGAGATCATCACTGAAAGAATTGTATGACAAGTTCAGTAAAATTGATAAAGATGAAAGGCTTATCATCTGGACTGGTATAGCTCCATTAAAATTGTTTTGTGACATATCAAGATATTGTAAACTTTCACAATTCCCAATACTTGGAGGAACTTGGCCTTCTAACTCATTATTTGACAAATCTAGGTGAAATAGCCGAGTGAGATTGCCTATGAAGTGTGTTATTTCTCCAGAAAATTGATTTCCACTCAAAGACAAGTATTGCATCTGTTGAAACTCCCCAAAAGTGATTGGGATGATGTCAGTGAAATAATTCATGTCCATTTCTAGGAACGTCAGGTTAACGAGGTTTCCAAAGGCCGCAGGAATTTTGCCAGATATTTGATTATATGAAAGATAAAGTGATGTGAGTTGAGTAGACAAATTACCTATGGTATTTGGTAAGTGGCCCCCAAAGTTATTTTGCGAGAATGCTAGCACGTTCAACTTGCTGCAGTTGCTCAAAGAAGTTAGAAACTCCCAGTCCTTAGAAGAATTACTTCCCATACTATTATAAGCGAACTCTAGAAAGTAGAGGTCGCGCAACTTTCCAAGATTTGGAATTTGCCCTACAAAGTTATTTCCTCCTATAGAGATTTGTGCAAGCGTTGTCGCATTTACAATGGATGTTGGGACAGGACCTGAGAATTGATTGCCTTCAAGATCCATGTATTGGAGATTTGGGAGGTTGATGAACATGGTGGCTGGGAGAGAGCAATTAATTTGATTTAAAAAAACTCCAAGTAGATAGAGAGATGACAAGTTGTAAAGAGAAGAAGGAATTGCACCAGAAAGCTTGTTGTCGCCTACAGTAAAAAATCTCAACTTTTGTAGAATGCCTATTTCTTCAGGGATACTCCCCTCCAGGTTATTACCAGCCAATGAAAGAAAAGCAAGGGAAGAAAGATTCCACATGGACATTGGGATTTTCCCACTCAAGTTGTTTTTAGGCAGAAGCAATCTTTCAAGCTTATGGAGATAGCCGATCTCCATCGGTATCTTGCCAGTTAGATTATTTCCACCAAATGATAAGTTCCTGAGCTGAGAGCAATTTGTGATGTTGACAGGAAATTTCTCACTTAGTGTATTGTTGCTAATGAAAAGTGTTTGCAACCGAAATAAACGACCTAATTCTTGTGGGATTTCTCCGTGAAACATATTGTTGTCAAGAACAATGACTCTTAGGAAGGAGAGATTACCAATATGTCGAGTTATAGATCCACGCAAGCCATATCCATTTAACCGCAGCTCTATAACTCTATGATGCTTGTGGCCACAAGTGACTCCGTGCCAGTTGCAGAAGTGTGCAGTTGCATTCCAAGAGTCCAAGATATGGTGTGGATCGTCGGATATTGATTCCTTGAATTTGAGCAAAGACAGGTGGTCAGTGTCATTTCCCAATGAAGAGATAGCTTTGCAAGGAGGAATGATGAAAGCAAAGAAGAGAAAGAAGCGAAGGCATATAGGCAAAATGGCGAGAAACATGACAAATGAAGGCTTCATTTGATTGATTGAGAAACACAAGCTAGGCTACTTTGAGAGAGCCCTTTGTAAAGGAATTGGCTTGCAACTAGTGGAAACATTCATATTTGTTTATGATATAATAGTCCGACTTCAATGGTGGAGGCCACATATTGTTTTATTTGTAGTTAAATTAGTATATGGAACGGAAGTATCGCCTCAGTCCATTGCGCCGTCGTGGAAAGTTCGAAGAAAAAAGCCAAATTTAGTCATGGCAACAATCGGTGGCTCCTTTGTTTTCTTCCTTTCAAGTTGTAGTCACTTTTCTAGTTGCCTTCTGATTTAAAATAAAAAATAGTAACTGTCTTTTCCAAAATCTTTCCGCACAAAGTTTATCGCCATGAAAGACGGACCCGGTTTCCCTGCCCATCCCTGTTCTGCAAATTTAAAATATTATTATATATTTTTATTTTACATTTATTAAAATAAAAATTATAAAATAATTTTAATAATCTTTTTATTTTAATTTGATCTAGATTTAATTTACTATGAAAATTTTTATAATTGTTATATATTGACTATTCAGATGTATTGTGCATAGTCCAGATTTCTAACACAATCCGGATTTAATCTAGTGTTAATCAGGACTATGTAGAGTACATCTGAATAACCAATATATATTAATTATAAAAATTATAATATTAAATTGAACCCTATAAATTAAATCTAGATCATATTGAAAATAAAATTTTTTATTAAAATTATTTTATAATTTCTATAAATTTTTATTTTAATAAATATAATATATAATAATGTTTTAAATTTGGATGGTTCAGATTTTATCACATGGACGAGCACCATTGTAATGAATAGGAAAACCAGTCCCATGCAATTACTGAAGCCAAAGTCTTTCTCTTAGTAGTTGGTATGATATTTGTTTTATTTTTATTATTATCAAATAATTATTTTTCACTATTTTTAAAATAGTTTGAGAAACTTTAGTTAGAACTCCAAAAAAAAAAAAAACGAAGTTAAAGGTTCAAAGTCCGATCCTCACAATGTACTAAAAAAAACACTTTGTAGTTACATAGAAACAATATTAACAATAATAAACCACCAATGAAATTGAAATAAACGAAAAGTTAAGACAAAAACCAATATTAATAATGAAATTAATATGAAGAAATGGGCAAAAAAATGAGAGTCGCAAATCTGTTTTGACGCTGTGATCAAAATTCGTCATGACAAAAGCGATGGTCCTTTACTTTAAGAACTAAGAAGAAGAACTTGCCGTTAAAATCAAAGTTCATTGCAGGTAAAATGAGTTTTTACTCGCCAAAGTACTATTTAACAAAAAACTCTTTTTCTATTTTGCTTCATTTCAGAACGATATTGGAAAATTAAATTTTGGAAAATAAAAATGAATTAATTATAATTATAATGTGCTCCATTCATCCAAATTTATAAGACACTTTTAAACAAAATTTTATGTACTGATAAAGTGCTAGGCTCAGGGGTGTCTTAGAAGAGGAGAGAACATAATTGGGCTGCCTATTGATTTAAGGAGGACACATATAATCAAGTATAATATTACATTTTAATTCAAAACTTTAAAACATTGAATTTATATATTTTTTTTATTTATATAGTTATTTTTTAATTTAATTTTACTCAATGTAAGACTTTTTTTTATATTAAGTCAATTTCACTCGCACTTCCTCTCAACTGTGGGTCCATCATTGACCACCCATTATTTGCCTGGCAACCATTATTTGCCTGGCAACCAATAGCTCAATGTAATAATGATTGTGGGCTTCCAAGACTTTTTTTCTCCATCATCTTCACACTATCTTGGTCTCTTTCCAAAACCTAACTTGATATCACTTAGTGGGCCCAAGGAGCATATTGAAAGAGAGAACATACTAGCCTACCCAATGGTTCAAAGAGAATTACAAATTTTAAAACATTGAATTTATAAATCGTTTTCACTTACATATATTTTATTTAATTCAACTCTACCTCATGTAAGATTTTTTTGCCACATCAAGCCAAATTCACTCATACTTGACAACCTAACATAAAACTCATTAAATATATTTTATAATTTTATTTTTCAAAAAAAATATAAACTTTTAAAATTATTTTTCATTTAATATTTCATTTGTAAAAAAAAATCAAAGATCGAATATAATAAGAAAGATAATGTAATAATTTATTTTTATCAAAATGTCTTATATTTTAAATTGATTTATAATTGGAACATAAAAGTTGTATAATAGAGAATCACAGGTTGACAAACTAGAATAAGTAATGTGAATGTGGGGATACACAAGTGAAAATTCCTCTCTCAGTCTTTTGGAAAATTCAAAGAATCCAAATGTATTACTTAATGAATCAACACTAATTATCAACAATCAATTGTTCTAGTGATAATGTCACCTTTCTTATTTTGAAGAGGTTTTGGGTTCAAATCTAGTGTTAATATGTTTGTATGAGTGTGTTTTTCTTTTCTATAAAGAATGGCTAAGTTAGGGATAAAATTAAAAAAAAAATCAACGCTGATAAAAATAATATTTAAAGTATAAAAAACAACAATATAATTGTATCCCCTACTTTAATTCAATGGGCCTCAAGTTTGCGAAGACCACAGATTTGAACAAGTCAATCTAAGAACCGTATTGCACGTAATATTGTTTTATGGACCAGAATGATACGTCTCTCACTCACATCCTTGCATAATTGATTATTATATTTTATATTTTTATATTATATTTTGTGGGTCTCATTTCAAAAGTTGGTCCGCGCGCGTGTGTGAACATCGAAGTATCTTGATCCCATTGAATAAATATGCTTCAAGGATATTTACACACACGAGGTCAAAAAACATCTACGCGGTCAAATTTTAGAATATCAATTATCAATATTAAATATCAAAATCTGTGTGTTAAAGTGTCAAATAATTTAAGGATGGTTGGTCCTTTACCGATATTTTGTAATCTTTTGGTCTTAAATTGAAATTAAATTCATATTTTACACTCAATATTTTATTTTCTCCTGACTATAATAGCAATGTTGGAATGGATCGGGCCCAAAAAAAAAACGTTGGGCTAGGTCTATTACCAACTAGAAGACCATCTTGAAAATAACGAGTTCTCAATGGAAACAGCAAGTTCAATTGTGGACCCAAACACCCATTTTAGAAAGACTAAATTGGAGGAATCCTCTGTGGTCCAGCATAAATGGGCCAACATCCAGGGCCCACACAAGCTTTGATGTCTACATAAGCTTCATTTTTTTTTTTGAATTGGAGGCCACGGATAAACCGTGCTAATTGACAAGATGAGTCATGTCAGCGTATAAAATATTACAACAACCAGGCGACGGGATATCGAAGATACGAATACAGAGATTGTCAGTGTAAGCTTGATGAGATAACCAATTGACACATCTGTTTGCCTCCCTGAAAGTGTGGTCAAACGTGATTGTCCAATCTCGTATAGTGAGGTCTCTGATTCTATTAATGATAGCAGTGAGTGGATGAGTAGTAGAGAACTCATTATGGATTAACGAGAGAGCTTCTGTAGAGTCAGTGTAAACATTAACTTTCTCGAACTTCTCAGCCTAGCAAATGTTTAAACCTTTCAAGATGCTCATAAGTTCGGCAGCTGTACCTGGGTAATAACCAAGGTAACTGGAATAACCTTTGATCCAATTTTCTCGGTTGTTTCGGATAAGACCCCCACATTTGGCTGCACCATGAATGTTGACGGAGCCATCAGTATCCAATCTAACCCAACCTTCTTCAGGAGCAGTCCATCTAGCTGTTGCTCTATCGCCCTTCTGAGTTAGGAAGTTAATTTTATTTTGAAGATATTGATCTCTGAGAACATCTTGGATACTGGTGAAGGCAATGTCTCTGTGACGGGTGTCTTCTTCTGAATGTAAGATTTTGCACCTTTCTTTCCAAATGTTCCAACACACGTGGGTATAAAGTCTCTGCCAAGAGGTTTTCCTTGCACAAGCGTTACCTGCATCAATCCTCGCATTCCAAGTTATCTAATCCTGTAAAGGAAGAGAGAAACAGGTGTTAAGTTTAGAATGATTAACTATTTTTGTCCAAACCTCTTTAGATTTTTTACAATCTCTTAAAATATGAATAGCAGAATCTAAAGAGTTACAACCAAAGGGGCATATCTTGATATAAGGATTGCCCTCATTGGAACATGAGAATTTAGGTTGGAGACGATCCCAAGCTGCTTTCCAAAGGAAGGATTTGATTTTCTCATAAGTCGGCCATTTCCAGATCTTAGACCAAATCTTGGAGTTTTCATTATCGCAATGATTTTCGTTAGCCTTATACGCAGATTTGATGGTAAAGTTACCATCATTAGAAGGCCTCCAACATAGAGTATCATCATCAGCGTTGGGTTTAGGAGGTTGAACGATGGTAATATGATTAATAACATCTTGATGTAAATATTTGCGTAAAATATCAATCTTCCATCTACTAGACTTAGAGCATAAGTTAGAAACCTTAGCATGTAAAATAAAATCAGCCTTAGGCAAGGCATATTTTACAAGTGGTTCAGGAAGAGGGCACCATTTGTCAAACCAAAAAGATATACGATCCCTTTTACCTACCTTCCAACCACTTGGGTTGTGAATTTATCCCAAATTCTAAATATACTATACCAAGTGTAGGAACAAGAGTTGGTTTTGCAAACCATAGGAATGGTAGGGTTTTGACATTTATACTTATCACGTAGAACTCGAACCCAGAAACAATTAGGCTTCATAATGATACCCCAGCAAAGCTTCATAATATAAGCCATGTTTTGGCTTTCCAATTTTTTAAAACCAAGGTCACCATATTTAGTGTCCTTCGTGATATGATCCCAGGACAAGAGGTGTGGTTTCTTGGAGCCATCAATAGAATCCCAAAGGAAGTTGCGAGAGTATGTTTCCATATCGGTTAAGATATTATCAGGTAAGAGCATAGTCTGCATCGAATAACTAGGAATGGAAGAAAGGACCGATTTTATGAGAACAGCTTTCCCAACAGTATTAAGATAGTGACTTTTCCAATTGGATAATCGAATAAGCTTCATTATTCAGTGGGTCATAACTACATAATAATATTTTTGCATTCCAATGAGGGCTGTACAAAAACTTTTTAATCTTGTTCAATCTGATCCAACGTGAGATAACCCAATCTCATCTGGTCTGAATAAAAACTGAACTTTTAAGACTAAAAAGGTCAAAAAATTAAACTATTTTTTCAAATTGGACTAAACAAGAGACTAAATATCTTGATCACTTGATCCAATTTGATCCTATAAAATTATTTAATATAATTATAATTAATTTATTAATTATTATTATAATAAGTTAATTTATAATAATAATATTTTTTTTATTTTATACTTATGAAATTATAAATATTGAGCAAAATTCCGACATTAAACAACATTAATCTTCTCTTTTTATTAGTAAAATTTGTTATTAATTTGATATAATAAACTTTATACATGTTGAAGATTGTTTAATTTAAACCCTATGTATTATAATTGAAATACATTTCATTGTTACAAATTATTATAAATTTATAATTGTTGTTATGATAAATTTTATGACTATAAGTAATGTTATTATGTTAATTGAATTTATTCGGTCAAAATAAATTATTACCCCTCATATATGAAAAAGACAAAAAAAACAAAGTAAAATATTAGACAAGAACAGTACAAGTATCCTAATCCTACAAGACCAATCCACTCCTATTCAGTTTTGAATTATACTAAAACCAAACCAGACCTAACTCAATTTTTTTCATAAAAAAAATCAAACTTCAAGTTAAGCTAAAACCTTGTCCGATCCATCCTTTGCAGAGCTCTAATACCAATGCATTGCTAATGCCTTAGTGTATTCATAACATTCATTCAACACGTTGACAAATAAATAATTCATATTATTTAAAAAACAAAAGAAAACAAACCAAAACAAGAACAAAATAAAACTACATTCAATTAAAAAAAAAAGAAAAATAACAACTTGAGGATGTAACGTCTACTAAAAACTTGACTAATTACATATTGACTAAGTAAATAATTACATAAGGCATGCCTAAAGCAAACAGTGTTGGGCGCATCATAATGACAATTCAACTACATTCAGGAAGACGGACCACACATGGTTTGATTAACTGCAAAAATAAATACCAGAATGAGACACAACAGTCATCAAATAAAAGATAAGACAAAATAATTAAAAAGACAATAAAACAACTGATCATATTTAAGTAATATAAGGGTACAAAAGGATTTTATTTAATAATTTTTTTCAACATTTAATAAAAATAAAAAGGTAAAGATAAACATAACAAATAGTAAAGTGCCCTATAAATAAAATTTAAGTTAATCTTTTCTCTTCATCCCATAAATAAATCAGAGGAATAGTTAGCATTTTAATATAATATAAAGAGAGCTTATCTTTATAAAAAGAATTAACCATTGGGATTGAAAAAAATTGTTTGTTTCGATATCAATATGGAAAGTATGAATTTAAAAAGAGCGTTAATAATTATTATAGCCATAACAAAATCAAATATATTTCTTGATAAAAAAAAAACCTTTAAACGCTTTAATTACACAACAAAAATCATTCTTGGAAAACATTTTACACATGCATAGGAAGGCCAATTTAAAACTAGTAGTAAATTTAGATATCATGAAAGCATGAAAATATTAATGTACCAGGCTATATCATACTCACCATAAAGGAAAATAACTTCTCATAGCGTTTAGCTCCTTGATAACATCTCCTGCACTCATTCTCTCATGTGGTGATTCAGTTGAACAAACAAGTCCAATCCTGGATAAGGAACATAAGCATTTCTCTATATCAGGGTGGATTTGTATCATACTCTCCCATATGTCTTCTGATGTTGCTTCTCCATGTCCTGGCTCTCTAGGGAGAATAGATGGACTCACAACCTGCAACAGCTTTTCTGGAAATGCAATTTCCACATATCTATGAAGATTGTGCCCATCTTTAAACATGTCTTCTGTGGGTCTTCTTTTCGTTAACATCTCTAAAACAAGAATCCCAAAGCTATACATGTCACCTTGCATTGACATCACTGCATGCATTCCATATTCTGATCGAAATGTTATGAATTTATTGATGTTACTCCTATTTCAACATTAAAAATAAACAAAAGGGAAGTTTGAAATAAAATAATTCTGCATGACTTTAAAGCCAAAAAAAATAAAAATAAATAATACCTCGAGGAATATAGCCAATAGTACCCTTTATTCCAATTGTGCTACTTTGCTCATTTGAGATGCCTTTACTAGTTGACAATAGTCTTGCCAATCCAAAATCACTCACATGAGCAACCATGTTGCTGTCAAGAAGGACATTGCTTGGCTTCAAATCACAATGAACAAGAGGTTGTTCACATTCATGATGAAGATAGTGTAATGCAGACGCAACATCAATCAAAATATTCAGTATTTGATCAAGGAGCAAGATTCTTTGATGACTTTGATTTTCTATACTTGGGTGCAACCAATTTTCCAAATTTCCATTCACCATGTACTCATAAACTAGAGCTTTAAAATCGTGACCCTTGTAATCTGTGCTAGAGCAACATGTCAAAATTTTTGCCAAATTTCGATGCCTTCTATTTTTGAGTGAGTTACATTCAGCCATAAAACTCTTGTGAGCTCCCTTAACATGAAGGTTGAGGACTTTTATTGCAACAACTTCATGGGTCTCAAGACTTCCCTTATATACAAAGCCAAATCTCCCAGATCCTATCAAGTTGCTGGTGGAGAACCCATCCGTGGCGTTGTGTAAGCTTTGGTACGATACTTTGGGAAGTAGGCCAACTGTATGTGAACTCAAAGAAGATTTCTTGCTTCTTTTCTTCTTATAATGAATAACAACAATGGATGACAGAATAAGAGAAAAAGCCACAACACAACACAATATTACAACCAACCTAAAGTTGAGGTGCTTTCTTTCCACCTCATCATTTACACGGCATGGTGGCAGTTTTAGCTCTGATATGCCACCACAAAGCTCACTATTCCCGATCAATGATATTGCACTTGCATTGCTAAAGACACCTTTCTTCGGCACTTCACCATCCAACATATTGAAAGAAACATTTAAGTACTCTAAATCAGAAAGACCTTGCAAATCTTTTGGAATTGACCCAGATAAGTTATTTCTTGAGAAGTCCAAATACCGTAGACCTTTTAATGAAGCCAAAGATGAAGGAATAGTTTCTTGAAAGAAATTCCCTTGTAAAAGGATGTACTCCAAGCTTGCGCAATCTCCAATGGTTTCCGGAATATTTCCAGACAAATTATTACAAGAGAAATCTAAATTACCAATATTTGTTAACTTTCCCACATCACTAGAGATGTTACCACTCAATGAGTTATGGGATAAGTTTAGTAATATTGATAAAGATGAAAGACCAAAGATTTCTTCTGGTATAGCTCTACTGAACTTGTTTAGTGACAAGTCAAGCAACTGTAATTTTTTGCAATTTCCAATGGTTGGTGGAATTTGTCCTTCTAAAATGTTGTCTGACAAAGTTAAATGAAATAATTGAGTAAAATTGCCTATAAAAGGAACAATTTCTCCAGACAATTTGTTTCCCGACAAACTTAAAAATTGCATCTTTTGAAACTTCCCAAAAGTAAATGGAATGTTGCCAGTGAGATGATTATGATTCGTTGCCAATACACTCAAGTCAATGAGGTTTCCTAATGATGCAGGAATTTTCCCAGATATTTGATTAATTCCAAGAGAGAGTATTCTGAGTTGGGTGGACAAATTTCCTATGGTATTTGGTAAATGGCCCCCAAAATTATTATCTTGCATATCTAGTTCTTCCAACTTACTGCAATTGACCAATGATTCTAAGAACTCCAAGTCTTTAGCAGAATTACTTCCCAGATTATTACCAGCCAAGCCCAGACTCCAAAGGTCAAGCAACTTTCCAAGATTGGGAACTGACCCAGTAAAATCATTGTCAGGGATTGAAATTATTTGAAGTTTGGATGCATTTACAATGGAAGTTGGAATAGGACCATAGAATTGATTTAATCCTAAGATCAAGTATTTGAAAGAAGGGAGGGTGTTGAACATGCTTGCCGGAAGAGAGCAATGAAATTGATTATTCGAAACTGCAATTTCAACAAGAGATGACAAATTGTAAAGTGAGGAAGGAAATGCGCCGGAAAGCTTATTGCTATGTACTTGAAAAGTTTCCAAGCTTTTCATATGGCCTATTTCTTCAGGTATGCTTCCCTCCAAGTTATTATTCATCATAAAAAGAAAAGCAAGTGAAGAAAGATTGTACATAGAAACTGGGATCTGTCCATTCAAATTGTTATTATGCAAATATAATTCTTCAAGCTTATGCAAAGAGCTAATCTCCACAGGTATTTTGCCAGTAAGATTATTCCGACCAAATGATAAATATTTGAGGTCAGAACAACTTGTCACGTTGACAGGAAATTCCCCAGTCAATGTATTACGGGTGAGATCAAGTACCTGTAGCCGAAACAAGCGACCCAGCTCTTGTGGGATTTGCCCGTGGAAACTGTTGTTTCCGAGTTTGATAATTCTCAGAAAGGAGAGATTGCCAATGGAAGGTGAAATAGAGCCATGCAATTGATATCCTTCTAGCTCAAACGTTGCAACTCTCTGATGCTTGTGGCCACAAGTGATTCCATGCCAGTTGCAAAAGTGTGTGGAAGCATTCCAAGAATCCAAGACATGATATGGATCATTGGATATTGATTCCTTGAATTTGAGCAAGCACAAACGATCGGTTTCATTTCGCCGTGGTGAAACAGATCTGCAAGATTGAAAGATCAAGATAAAGAAAAGAAGCAAGTGAAGGCGCATGGTTGAAAAGCACAAGGCTACTTAGAGCTCTATGAAGGGCCTGGAACTAAGTAATCATGAGCAGGAGCACATTTGTGTACCGGCATATACTGCCGGATTTAAGCATTGGACGCTACATATTCGGGCCCCGGGGGATTCATAATAACTATTTTAATATTTTTTCATTATTTTATCTTAAATAAGTTTTTCCCTTTCTATCTCTTCTGAATTATAAATGAAGAGAACTGGCCTAGTTAATATTGTAAAATCTTGAAGAATCGAACTGCTCAAGAATCAGTAATTGGTCAATGAAGCAAGGAACGGTTGAAAACACTAGACAGTTTTAAGAACCGGAAAAACTAAAAAAAAGAAAAGAAAGAAAACCAGATGGAAGAGAAGATAAGAAAAAGAAGATAAAAGAGATCAAATAACAGCAAATCATCACCTCCAGGGTGCGGGTAACAAAATTATCAAATGTGTAATTAAACCCTGTTATTGAAATAAAATCGAACCTTGCGAAAAAATATCAAACTTGACAGACCTTGTATCCATGATGGCAAAGATTGAAGACTGAACAGAGACAGGCCGGAGGACAAAAAGAACGCTGGAGATGAGGGAAGTGAGGTGTTCCCAATTCCCCACTCTCCAATTATTTTCTATATTTTTTTAATAAAAAATATAATTTTAAATTTTTATATTTTGCTTGCTCTTCATTATAAATTTTTATATTTTTTTATTATCACATATTTTATATTTTTATTTTTTAATATTTTAAGTTTCTCAATAAATAAAATATAAAATTTTAAAAAAATTTAAACATTAAAAAATAAAAATTTAAAAATTTAAAATATTAAAACAAAAATAAGGGTTTAAGTGTAAAATTTAAAATTATATTTTTTTAATTTTGTAATCATCTAAACGATACTCCTTTTAAAAAATGAAGGGAAACGGAGAGCGAGAACTGGAGTGGAGACACCCCCGCCCGGAATGAGAAGAGTGACGGACATTCTCACGTGAAGTTTTTGCTCATTCTCTCACCACTGCCACACGGAATCATCACGTGAAGTGTCAGTAACTCAGTGTTGCTTTAGTACTTGAGGCGTCAGTTCTCTCCCTGTACTTATCTCTTGTTTTTCGCATTTTAATTTTGGTATGATATTCTTTTTTTTCTAACCATAATTATATTTTATTTTTTAAATAATCCATTTTTAAGAACTTTACAAAAAGATTTGATAGTATTTATTTGGCCAAAAGAAAGAATTAATAATATTTTTAATTTAAATATAGTATCAATATACGGTGTAAAAATCTCAAACCCACCGTCATCAGCAATTTCAACACGCAACTTCATCTCGCTAAGTACTTTAAAATTGAATATCTTTTATTTGTGCGTGATCTCTTTTCAAAATTAGAATAAAATTTTTGAAAATTCTTTTTTATCTTAAATCTTCGTGAAGTTATTTAATATTTAAATTGGCCCGTTTAGTTTTAATTTTATTACAAATCAGGATATGTAATATTTAGTACATTATTATATTATTGTTTTTATTACTCTCAGGCATATTCAAAAATAATTTTTTTAATAGAAGTAATGGTTTTTGTGGAATCCAAATCTACTATGCCTACACTAGATGAAGATGGTTTTGTTTAGATGGTAAAGGAAGAGGTGTTTAGATTTTTAAAAGTTTTTTTACTTTTTAGATTTGGCAAAGGATGATGAGACTTGGTGTTCTTGTGGTTTAGTATGAATAGGTATAATAGAAATAATGGTTTAGTATGAATAGGTTTCTAAGTAGATGATGTTTGATCTGGATGTAGTGGAGGTGGTTTTAGATGGTTTTTGTTTGGCCCTTTTGAGAATAAGGTAAGACGTCTTAAAAATTTTATTATAATGACTCTCTATAGAATAGGTAAGGTTTATAGAGGTGTATAAAGAAAACTGTCTTATCATAGAATAAAATTCATAAATGGTTTTAGATTGATCTTTGACTAGATCTATTTCTATTCTCTGTAATTCTTTTTGAATCTTAGAGATTTCTCATTCGTTTTTTCTTTTTTTTTTTTGTAAAATCAGGCCCAAAATAAACTTTAATCAATATATCTTTGTTTGGGTTAAAATTGAAACATCGCCTGCAGAGGGTGATTAAATAAAAGGGCCAACAAGCAATATAACCTAAAGTGGGCTGAGTAACTGAAGAGTTAAGCCTAATAAGCAATTTAAACAAAAGGGCCAATCTAGATTCCAAGAGAAATAACTTAGTCAGATAAGTACAAGTTCTCAAATCCCTTAAGTCTCAAAGCCACTACTTAGACTATCGGTATATAAAACCATAACTTCAACGGGCCTCGAATCTCATGGAGACATGATCATTATTCACAAGTATCTTAGAGATACAGGCTAGCCATTAAACAATGGAACATGTTGTTAGTAAACCGTGCCATGAATTTCACGGGACAACCACCACAACTTAGTTATTATAAAAGGAGGAGTAAATTATACTAGACAGACAACACTTATCCAAATACTGACGTTTTCACATCTGTAGTTCTTAGATTCATCATATAGCTTTTACATGTAGCTTTACTTTTGCTTTCAATCTTGTAATCTTTAACGCTTTGTAATCATTAGCATTAATCAAATACTTATTATCCCACTCTTGTGTATCTTTTACATTAAGGTAAACTGTGATAAGGGAGCCCAGGGACCCTTTGTTATCAATTAAGACTTAACGTCTATAGCACGCCTGATAATTTAATTGTTCTTAATGAACAATTTGTGACATGTATAGCGGGACTCTATGTAGCAAGATGCCAAGGACTAAGAAAGATAAAAAGATTGATGAAACAAGTGCTAGTTATAACGAGTCAAAAGAAAACTTTGCACCCATAGGGTTAGAATCGTTGATACTTGACGCTAAGACAGGGGGACATCGTGAGCACATAGTGCCGATAATGATGAGTAGTAGCAATACAAACCCTAGTTGGAAACCAGGAAGTGAGCAAGTAAACTCCCTGATTATATCTAATGGTCTAGTAGTATAAGTGCTACATGAAATCCAAGACCGCATGGATAGACAGATGGAGGAAAAATAGAAGTTCTTTGCTATCTCCCTAGAAACATCAAAACGCAGAGAGAGAGAGAGAGAAAAGACAACAACTAATGATGCAGGCTTTGCACGAGAGAATGAGGAATTTAGCCGCATCACTAAGAGAGACACCTAGAAGCTAAACACAAGCGGATTTAAGGTCACATGGAGGACAACAATCAGGAATAAATACAAACGCAAGCCCTCGGGGCCACACGACTATAAGAGATTATTCTATTTCTTAAGTTTTTACTAATACTAACCCCATAAATAATCCTTTATATTATTTACAGGAGCTAAACACAAGCAGCCCGGGGGGCATATAGGTCATCCCAGAATAACAAAATGAGCCATGGAATCAGTTGGTAAATATGGAAGCTCTAAGGGATGCCATTTAGGACATATACAGCCTTAAACTGAGGCCAATTGATCGTCTTACTTTCTCAAAACTGTATCGTGAACACATAGACAAATATAATTCATACCCCTAAGGCTATAGGATCCCTAATTTCACCTTGTTCTTAGGATATGGCATGTAGTCGACATTAGAGCATATTGGCAGATTTACTATCTAATGTAGAGAGATCCAATTACGACAACTTTGCCAACTTAAATATGAGACTATTCTCGAACACTCTCACAAGCTAGCATTCATGTGGTATACCTTGCCAGCCCATAATTCAATACTTGTTAGATGAAAATGGAATAAAAAATTCTATGTATAGTTTATAAAGTAATACTAGAAGTCAGTATAGCAGAGTTCTGCAAACTCAACTGGTTAAAAAGGCAGCAGATCAAATTTAGTAAGGTTCAAAAGACTAAGAAGCAAGTGCCATGTACCACTTTCAGAGATCAAGTTTGTCAAATTGACCTAGGCAGGTCTTGATATAGAGTTAAGGAAAAAATTCTAAGGGATAGAGTTTAGGGACTTTTATGAGATCATAGCTAAGGTCTATGGATATGAAGAGTTGTTAAAGGAAGAGAATCACTATCAATGGACTATTGTAAGCACATACTTTAGTGAACTTGATGTAGCAGTAGCAGAGCTGAAAAATACAGGAGACTATATGTGCCCGGCCTTAATAAGGAAGGCCACAGAAACCCCCAAAAGGCTTGACACAATATAATATACTTTTGACACCTTAAAAACTAAAAGCAAGCTTTGATTTCTTACTTAAAGAGAAGTTCATCTCACTACCCACAGACCATGAGATTCCTTCCAAAGAAGAACAAAGAGGAAATAAATATTGTAAGTACCATAACTTATAGAGTCATAATACTAATCTTTGTTGGGGCTTCAAGAACGTCGTGCAAGACAAGATTAATAAAGGCATCCTGAAATTTTTAAAGGAGGAGACCATGGTCATGGACGAAGATCCGTTCTTACCTTTTACCACTGTTAATATGGTGGAAATAGACTCTAATAGACGACGAGCTAGAAATTACAATAGTAGACAAAATAGATAAAGAGATGGACAGCCTTGAAACCTTTGGACTAAGGAAGAAACAAAGTAAGAAAACACGAAGATGGTATGGGATCGCCTGAGAAAACCTAAAGGCAGGACAGATCTTGACAACAAATACACAACAAAGCAAGATAAAAATAGACCAGTAGGCTTGGATGTAGGCCCGAAAGGGCAAGTTATGAAGAGCTTGAAAAAGTCCAAAGTGGTATGGGACTACATAAGAGAACCTAAAGGCAAGACAGATCTTAACAACAAGTACACAATAAAGCAAGATAAAAATAGATCATCAGGCTGGGATGTAGGCCTAGAAGGGCAACTAATGAAGAGCTTAGAAAAGTCTAAAGTAGTTTAGGATCGCTTGGGCAAACCATCAAGCAAGTTCGATTATTTTGTAAAATACTCAACCCCACCAGGAGCAAGAGAACCTTTCACAAGAACACTCTCAGGATGGGATGTGGACCCCGATAGACTACCCTTGATGGAACCAAGATTAGAAAACACTCAAGAGTTTTCTTCAACACTAAAGACCGAAAAGAATGCAAGTAGGTTTGTTACTCTGCCTAATAACGTGCTGCCCTTATAATGGAGAGTTATAAGACACTGAAAATTTCTAGGTGTCCTAACAAGAACCCAAAAAAGACACCTTCAA